TAATCTGAAGATTTTTTGTCGTCTTGTGTTACGTTTTGTTTTCAGACTTTTTTTGACAGACAATTTTCAGTTTTGTTCTCAGTTTTGATTCATTAAGCTCTGTTTGTTAGGTTGTGTGTCCCAGTACTGGGACATGTTCTCTTTCTTTCTCTTGTCCATTGAGCCAAATGAGGATCATTGGGACAGTGAGGATGATTTACCGTTATCAGATATAAGATTAAGCAAATTACAAAAACCACCACGTGGTATAAAAATAATAATCACTGCGTTCAAAATATAAAATATTTTGCGGAAACACCTGGACCACTGGCAATGTCTGATGTGAACTCGCCAACAGATATGTTTCTTCAGATATTTCCCGAAGGCCTCTGCAACTGGATTGTGTAGCGGACAAACTTGTATGCTTTGCAAAAGTCTGGCCGTAATGCAAATTAACAGAAATAAAATCATTTTTGGCAGTAAATTTGATGATGGGCATAAAAAATCACCTAGCTATCGCGATTATTGGTCATCTAGCCCTCAAATGAGAGATCCGTTTATTAGCTCAGCAATTTCACGAAATAGATTTCCTTGCTTATTGGGTAACATACATTTGAACGACAGTTCAATACAACCTGATCAAAATTATTCACATTTTGACAAATTGTACAAGTTGCGACCCGTATTAGACAAACTTTCTGGTACGTTTTTGAACCCTCTAACACTCACACTAACACAGTAAATGTCAATTTCTTGATGAGTCAATAATTCGATTCAAAGGACGAAGCCACTTGAAGCAACACATGCCCAACAAGCCCATAAAGCGACGGTAGAAAGTATGTGTAAGGGCTGATGAGACAAGATATGCTTGTTAGTTCCAGATATATACTGGAAAAGTTGCCCAGTTGACCGAGACAAACTTAGGGCAGTTGTAGACGACCTAAATCTCTTATAAGAAGAGGTTACCAAATATATTTTGATAATTTTTTAAATTCTGTTGAGTTTCAAAAGGAGTTACAAATATATTTTTTTTTATTCGGTCGGCACAGTGCGAAAAAATACAAAAAATATACCCCAAGTCGACAAGATGCTGAAACGGGGAGATTCCGATTGTCGAGTGAATGATACTGGACTTGTCTGTGTAAAATTGATGGATAATCGACCGGTATACTTCCTGAGTAATCACATCAATCCGACCTTGATGGTAACTGTATCAAGAAAGCAAAAGGATGGAACTGGCAAAGAGGTGACTTGTCCGGAAATAGTGAAAAAATACATTGAAAATATGGGCTACGTAGATAAAATGTATATGTATAAATCCCTGTATGAAGTTGAAAGGAAATCGAAAAAATGGTGGCACATAATATTTTTCTATTTCCTGGATTTGTCTGTAGTAAAAGCTTTTTTTTCATACGAAAACCAAACGGATTCAACAAATAGGATTAGCATAAAAGATTTTCTATACTTCGTAGCTGTTGGTTTAGCTGAGGGAAACAAATCCCTGGGAAAGAAAAGGAAGCCTTCGAATGGTAACGAATTAACCATTTCAAGGTTCAAGTACTTATTGAGGTAAGGACCAACTCTTGCAATCACATGTCAATCCAAATCGACAAGCCAAGATGCGCGTTTTGCAGTACTAAAGCCGTACCCCATAAATCCCGTTGTATTTGTTCAAGGTAAGTTCCTCAAATAAAATTATTTCAAGTAATTAAACAATTTTTTATTTCAGATGTGATGTCGGCTTGTGCCTATACGACAAAAAAATTGGTTTGTGACTTTTCACCACAGTTAGTTATACAATGAAGAGTTAAACGTAATTATTTTTCAGCCCACATTTTTTGTTCGGTACTGCCAAGTGGCGACAGTGTGGTGCCACCTGTTTTTGTAAAAACTGATAAAAATTTTGATAAAAATCATGTGTATTCGTTATTTTAGTTCAATAAAATGTACAAAAATCATGTTTTTAAAATAATTTTTTGTAAATAAAAAAGTTGAGCCGCAAAGGGTTAAGCTCTGTTTGTTCGGTTATGTGGTCCAGTACTGCGACATGTTCTTTTTCTTTCTCTTGCCCATTGATATTGTTCTTATTTTTATCTTTTGAAATCTATTGCTATCGTTAATTTATCTTTCTTATCTTCAAGTTCGGTTTGGTTCAAGAGTGCATCGGTTTTCAGGTTGCTGTTGTTGGTGGTGCTTTTCCAGGGGCGTCAAGATGTTTTTGGTATATTTCTGTTCTCTGGTTTTTGGTTGTGCCCTTCCTGTCTGGGATTTTTAGGTGTTATCCAGAAGAAAGTGTGAATGATTTTGGTATGGGAGTGGAAATTGTTTGGCGTGTTGCCTGCCTCTTGATGCCCTGGCATTTTGGGATCGACCTTTTGTGACTGCAACTTGCGCATGTGAGATTTCGGGTTTTGTAATGCACTCTTGCATCAATTAACATGCCATGTTTATTTATTCCTCCTAACAGCCCTGATATCGGTGGTTTGTAGGAATCAAACATAGCAAACAATAAAAACTCATTTTTTTATTCGTTCGTTCTCATTTCAAAGTTTTGACCATTTGGGCCACCTACTACCCTACTTGTCTTTGTTTGTGATTTGCATTCACTTTCAATTTCGTTCGGTATTGTTATTGAGCTATCTTCTCAAACACTTTCAATGGAGCACGACAGAAGAAGAAAAAAAACCAACTCGCAAACAATTTGAAAAAAAGGTAAAGCTGATAAAAGAGGTAAGTACTTAGTTGCATTACGGAATTTCTTAACGAACAATTGGTATAGTATCTACCTAGTGACTGTATACGATTGTGTGTTTTATCTGTTACGCCTATTACCTTCAGAAATCGAGCTATTGCATGAAACTTAGCTTGTTTGAATAAATTATTTGGAACCGGCATTTTAATGAATCTAGGTGCTAATCTAGCTAGACCTTCAGATACTTTTACCATAATTCGGCTGACTGTTGACTGGTCTATTTGTAGAAATTCACCAACTGAACTTAAATGACCACCAGTTGCAAACACTCGAAGAGTCGTTAATAGCTAATTAATAGGAGAAACGCTATTATTTCTGGAAGTAGATATAAGGAACAAAAATGATATAGCTAGTGAGCTTGCTAGGGTTCGCAAATTTAACCCGTCTATTTACAGTTGGTTGGGATGATTCAAATCTCCCTCTATCAAGTTGAGAACATGGAGCACCGTGCATTTGTATAAACGAAATAGTCTAAAAAATGTGAGGTAGTCTAACTCTTCATAAGGGTTACCTCTCACATATAACTTCCTGGGAATCACAAATTCTATTATATCTCATAGTGGTGTGAGATTTGATCACGTTTGAATACTCGTACCGACTAGTTACTTTTGGATTAAATCCTCGTTACTTCGGATCACTTATTCGAGTACTCATTCTAGTCGTCTTATAAAAAGCTAGGACCTATATTGGTATTTTATTAGTACCCTTCAGATTTGTTACACGTACACTTTAGTCATACAAATCATATCCTACTCTCGAATTTATGATTTCCGTAATAGATAGGTATATTTACGACTAAGAGTAAATAATCAGACCATTTTTATCCACTTTTAAGCCAGTTGTTAATTGATTCCCTATTGTACTCTCTATTGTTATTGTACCGTGGATGGTCGAGTATCAAACTCTTTCTTCAGCTTCCAACTTTTATTCAACTCGGTATCACTTTAAATGCGGAACTTAATCCCCAAGTGCTGCTGAATAATTTCTAATAATCTAATAATTTAAGTTTGCTCATTTAAATTTCGTTAAAATGGAGACCTTAGTTAGGCGCCGAAGTACGATGAAAAGCAGCATCACTCGCATTCAATCTTGGCTCAATGCAAATGAGTAAACAGAATTGAATCAGTTTCATTTTGAAAGGCAATTAGAAGCCCTAAAGAGCGCATATAATTCATATTGCGAAATTCAGCAGCAAATTGAGGAGTCTACTTCAGACCACGAATCCGACAGAGATAATGTAGAAGATTTCGATGTATCAGCACGGTTGTGCGCTAGAATGAGTGATATTACTCGCAATACCTGTTCAAATCCAAGCTCATCTTCATTATCTCAAGTACCGGCCTCCACATCAATCCGCGTCAACAAACCACAATTAAATATCCCTAATTTTAACGGCGCTCTCATTGAATGGAAAAGTTTTTATCAATTGTTTGAAGCCTTAATTGAAAAAGATAGCGTGTTGACTGATGTAGAAAAACTCATACATTTACGCTCATATCAGGAGGTCTGGAGAACCTCTCAGTCTCATAACTAATTTAAAAATAACTAACTCAAACTTTTATATTGCTCTCAATACCCTTAAAGAAAGATATTTAAATCAACTAAACATTATTTATGCACACATAAGGAACATCTTAAATGTTTTCCAAATCACAAAGGCAAATGCGTTCAATTTAAGGCAATTTATCACCACAATTAAACAAAATTGTGATGGTTTAAGAAACTTGCACGTAAATGTGGATGCTTGGAACTTAATGTTGGTATATTTATGTTCGGAAAAACTGGATGCTGGCACAAAAAGGGCCTTTCAATTCGAATTAAAGGCACATGATCGCCCCACTATGCAACAATTTTTAAAGTTTCTAGATACAAAGTGTTCGGTACTAGAAAGATCTATGATACCTCAGTTATCGACTTCCCCCCCTGTCAGGCATAATCGCAACGAACACCAGTTTGTCCACGTTACTGAGAATAGTAACAATGTTTCTCTGAATGCACGCAATACTCCTTCCACGTCAAAACAGAACGGAACATCGCACCCCGCAAGTTCGTGCTTGTTTTGTAATCAGGGGCACCGCATTTATGGCTGCTCTAAGTTATGCTTTAACGGTTTGGGTTCTAAACATACTGCCAAAGAGTGTCAGTCTCAACGTTGTCGCACTTGCAAACAACCTCATCATACCCTGCTGCATAAAGATTGGAATAATTCGTCACAAGTACGCAACTGGCGACAATCGACTCAGAATCAACCACAAGTATCAAACCACGCAATTTCACACAACACTGCCTACTTAGACAATGCATCCTCGGCTATTCAACTTAACAGTTCGACAGCTAATTTTATTCCATCGTCACAACAAATTCCTTCTAATACCGTGCTGAGCACGCACGCAAACAGCAAAGAAGTCTTGGCCTATGTCAAACTAGTTTCAGTCAAACAGGAAATCGTGTATGCCAGAGCACTGCTCAATTCCTGCAGCACCACATCACTTATTACTAGTCAGTTGGTAGAAAAACTTGGAATAAATGTTAGACAGTCCCATAACTCTCACAGGWATKTATGGARTTGCAACTCACACCAACAAAATGGTAGATATTTCGGTGTTCTCCACAGTTAACGAAAATACCAAATTTGATATTTCATGCTATGTCCTAGATCGAATCACAAAGAACTTGCCCCACTACACGCTCATTAGAGAAAATATTGCTATTCCTCCCTGTTGCATGCTTGCTGATCCCGATTTCAACGTTCCTGGGCAAATAGACATACTTTTAGGCGCAGATGTTTATTATTCCATTGTTCATGGAATCCCCGCTCAAATACCCAGAAATTCTTTGTATATGGTAGAAACTCATCTTGGCTACATCATATGTGGACCGATCTCAGTTATTGCACCACTCTATCCAGTTCAGCTAAATCCCCCTTTAGAGCAGAAAACGCGTGCCATTTAATTCACGGTACCAATTTACAGAAACTTTTTGAATGATTCTGGTCTGTCGAACACGTTTCTGACCTTAATAAAACGATTTTGTCACCAGATGAAACGCTTGCTGAAGAAATTTTCTCCACTTCAATCACCCACTTGGAAAATGGCCACTTGCAAGTCGCGTTGCCCCTCAAAATCCCAAACGCGCACTTGCAGTTAGGAATCTCGTACAATCAAACATTGAAACGGTTTGAAAACCTGGAAAAAATTTTAGCGAAAAATCCCAATTTGTTGTCTAGATACAAACAGTTTATTGACGAATATATTTCACTAGGCCACGGAAAATATGTGGAATTATCTTAAAAAAATGAATTGAATGAAAATAAATATATAATTTTTTTAATACTTTATACCCCACCACTGTGTCATTCGAGAAGATCGTCTTACGACAAAATTACGCGTAGTGTTTGATGCGAGCATGAAATCTTCTAACGGCGTGTCTCTTAACAATATTATGCTTAAAGGATTTCCCGTGCAACCCGATTTGTATGACATTCTTTGCCGATTTCGGAGCTTTCCATATGTTTTTGAGGGAGATATTGAAAAGATGTATAGGCAAATCAAAGTGAACCCTACTCAAACATTTTTGCTAAATATTTTGTGGCGAGATCACCCAGCCGCCCCACTCAGGTGCATAGAATTGCAGACAGTCTCATACGGCACGAAAAGTGCTCCCTATCTTGCCACTAGATCACTAAATTATCTCGCTGACACTCATAAAGAACGCTATCCACTTGCCGCCCAGTTTATCCACCATCAATGTTATGTTGATGACATTATCTATGGTTGTGACACGCTTACTGCACTCACAAATACTTATAGAGAATTAACAAAGCTAATTGGMACTGCTGAATTCAAGTTACATAAATGCTCGTCAAACTCTAATCCATTTATTAAAGTTCTTCAGAACGCTTCCCCTCAAGACGTTTTCGAACTCAAWGAACACGGCTCTCCAAATAGGGTCCTAGGAATATGTTGGAATTCCAAGAGTGACTTATTTTCAATATCGTTACTCAAACCAGGCCCCAAACTCCCC